CAAATCATGAAGGTTGGTCAAAAGTCACCTCACCTCATACTCTTTAATGCTGCCGGTCCAAGTGCAACTTTCATTAATGCAAACAGCAGACAGGTTTTCAACTTCCCTTCGAACTGCATTGTCAGGAAAAGCCTGAAAAAACAAAAGGAATTGCTGTCACACTGTGTTTATTCCAGCTGCACATTAAATGGATTATTTATGCTGCATATTGAACCTTGCCCTACATCTATGCATATGCATCCATCTAAGTATCTCTCCCTTGTCCAGGCCTATAATCGGCTGAATTTCCTATAGTGCTGCAGAAGTTGACATGTGTTCTGTCCATCAATCATCTATACCACTTATCCTGAATAGGGCTGTGGGGGGGCTGGAGCCAATCCCAGCTGTCAATGGGCGACAGGTGGACTCCACTCTGGACAGATCACCAGTCTGTCACAGGGCTGACATGTAGACAAACAACCACACACTCACTCCTATAGGTCACCAGTCAACCTAAGCTGCATGTCTTTGGACTGTGGGAGGAAGCTGGAGAGAAACCACGCAGGCACAGGGAGAACATGGAGAACATCCACACAGAAAGGCCCCAGGTCGGTCGGGACTCGAACCTGGAACCTTGTTGCTGTGAGGTGACAGTATTAACTGTACCGCTGTGTTTTTAGGTGTGAACTGAAACCAAGAATCACCAACATTTGTCCTGCATGTTCAGTGACACATGAAGCATGGGGCTGCTGTTATACTTCTGTTGTGCTAATGATTATTTTCATAATCAGTTAATCCACTGATTATTCACTTAGTCAGTCAATTAACCCCTTGTGACATAAAATGGTGAAAAATGCTGCTTTGTTTCTGGACAATGGTCTAAAAGCCCAAAGATATAGTTTACTATCACAGAAGACAAAGACAAGCAGTCTCCATTTTCTGACATGTTACAGACCAAACAGTCGATGGATTAACTGAGAAAATAAACCAGGACTCTAAGTACTTTGACAAAAACACTACTGGTGCTGCTACTGTAAAAACTATGTACAGTACATGGATTCACTTGTACTAATGTTAGAAAAAAATCCCCCTTAATTCAACAAGAATCCCACTTTTTCTTTAGGGTAAAAAACATACTCACGCATCCTTGCTTCAAAATCGATGTAGGCTCCTCAAAAATATCCTCTTTAATGCAAGCGTTGCACTTCTGGGGTCCATTACTGCAATGACACAACAATATATGCTGATACACTGCAAATACACGATGTGATGGAAAGTAACTGTTTACTCAGGTACAGTACTGACGTGCAGTTCTAAAATACTTTACTCAGTTATTGTTGTTATTTTATACACCTCCACCACTACTTCCACCTATATGAACGCTTTCAGTTACTTTATAGTTTTGTATAATTTATACAAACTATACTAGAGTAACTAACAAATCAATGAGGTCCAGTCCACAGTCCATATAGAATTTACTGTGAAAGGTACACAAACACTTCTGATTAGCCAGCTGCAGCAGCACACACATCCAGATGTCAGGGTCATTTCTTTTTTAAAGGGAAAGTTCTCATTAAAAAGTCAGTTAGGTGTATGCCTTATTCAGTTTCAATTACTGTGGGTGTGAGGATGTGTAGACTGAGGATCAGCCAGGTTTATTCATTCTGAATTGGACATGGAGTCAGATCACACCACTGTACCTCCAACCAGCCCATATCAGGCTCATCAGATTTCTGCCCACAAGTGACAAAGAGCCTCATTCATAAATGTTAATTCATAAATTTCATCTGTTAAAATGTTAAGTTTAGTGTGGACACTGTGACTTTTAAGGTAATGGAGACACCAAATACTGTTCTTTGTCTCCATCTAGTGGTTATAAACACCTTTGTCCCAGCTTTTATTTTGAAAGAAGAAGGAAGGGTATAACAGGATGACCCTTTGCTTCCAGGTCAGACTGAACAGCGGATGCTCCACTTGCACTCAAGTTTGCCAAAAGTGAGCACGAGCAACTATGAACACTACAAGTGTGGCAATCCTCCTGCATGCTCAGATCATCTGTTCTTTATTCTGCTCTCACAAACGTGTGTCTGTTGACATGCAGACGGAGCAGGGCTCACATCTGTCCTCTCTCGTCGTCGATACGCTTGCACAGCTCCTCACCTCACAGTCCGGTTGAAGCAGTAGGAACAGAAGCGATGTCCACACTGGGCTTGAAACGGTCGTCTGAGTATATTGTGGCAGAAGTTGCACAGGTGCTTGTCCTCCAGATTATTGCCCAGGATCTTCTTGGGGAAGCCGGGTTTATTGCTCTCCATGGACGAAGGAGGGGACGGTTCCTGTGTGGCCATGCTGTCTGTTCACACGTCACACCTGGGAAGAAGAACAATATGTGAAGACTCAGTGGCACGTGGATGAATCGTGTTCTCTTGGATGTAACATCTAAATATGAGCTGGGCCATTTGTTTTATAATCAAGAATACAAAGCTGGCTACAAAACACTTTGCAGGATGAGATATCTGTGTGTGTGTGTGTGTGTGTGTGTGTGTGTGTACATGCCATAATGAAAATAATTATTGGTTGCAGCTTTACAGTTTTCTTGTCAGGAGATAATTCGGCCTCGCAGGAGGTTTTCTGTCTTAATTACTTGACATACAGAGAAGCTGAAGCAATTCAATACAACTAACTTTATAAAAACAACCTGTATTTTGCTAAACACCTATAGTTTATGTACTTATGTATGTTTTTATACAAAGGGCACAACTTTCTGATAAGGCCCCCTTTAAAAGTGTTTACAGTGACAGGTCACAGGCCATTTAGGTTAAAGCGGTGATGTCACTGTTCAAAATGTTACTTGAATAACAGCATTTTTATCCAAACATATTTTCTCATTTTGACTTTGTTATAATCCATGTGTTAAACATGACTAATGCTGCAGCTTGTAAAGGTTTGGATCATTCTGCTGGGTAGCTTTAATCATAACACCTCATTTATTTGTTCACTGTGTTTTGGATTAATAATCTGTAAAGCAACTAGTAACTAAAGATGTCAAATAAATGCAGTGGAGTAGAAACATATAGTTCAACAAACACAATATACACTCAAATAGTGAATATCCTGAATGAGATTTTGACACAGGGACGCTCTGAGACAGGATGGCGAAGGGAGGAGCGGACGTAGTCAATCTGGTCCTTCAGTGGTGCACGTTTTAACAAAGCTGTGATTAATGAAACCATGTAGACAGAGACGGAGTAAACCCGGGGCCACTCCTCCTAGTCAAACAATACACGCTCAGCCTTGTACAGACTAGACTGTTGGGGAAAGGTGCTTGTTGAACAGCTTCCTATTCTGCACAGCAGACGTTTACACGTTGCACTGAACAGACCACCGAGTCCTGCACGTCTGCCAACGCACGAGGCATGAGGCAGTCTTACACTTCTGTAGTGCTGCAGCCAGCTAATGGTTATTTTCATCACCAGTCAATCTGCTGGTGAGTTTCCTAAATAAATGTTTGAAATACACTTTTTAACATAAGCATGCCATTTGTCCAAAGCTCAGAGTAACGTAGACATGATTAGAAGCTGGAGCTGGTGAACGTTGATAATGGAAGAACATCTTGAGGCCCTGGGCAGCTGGTAGTCTGACACTACATGACTAACATGACTGCATCGTGTGTGTACAAGCTTCTCCTCCGTGTAAACACCAGTCATGGTTGGTGGCAGAGCATCTCAGGCCAGCTGAAAGGCCCACACCCTTTGTTTACATTTCCACTCCGCGTTCGTGGATCCTTGGACTTGACTTGGCACAAAGTGACTGATGATGACCGCCGGCTGCCTCTGTCTGGTCAAACAATACAGGCTCAGCTCAGCCTTACCCAGTAACGATGCTGACACTTCGCACATCCATTGTCTCCGCTCTGCTTCCTTTCCCTTCCTTGTTGCTAAGCTATCAGCATCCGTCAGTCAGAAGTGGTACCCAGCACGCCGCCACACCCCTTTGAAATCTGAGGCTTGCTGCCTGCATGAGACCATTTACTGGAAAAGCCTTTGCTAATGCTGTTGCAATCGCTAGAGTTTGCACTTACCAGCGCTTTAGTCTAAACTGTCATCGCGTCCACAGGCTGGCAAATCTCCCTTCCCGGTCGCAGGTTGACGTTCGCGCACTGTGCCGATATTAAATGTGGTTCTGCAGCCGACTGGGGGTGTTTTCTTTAACGTTAGCCACATAATATAGATGTGGTCCCCAGAAGCGATGGCTGTTATTGTCCAATATCGCCATTGCACTTCCAGCCTGGGTGTTACGTCATGCAGGGGGCTGAACGCGGGTTGATGGGCAGACGAGATGCGGAGGCGTGAAAGTCATTGGCTCAGAAATCCAGAGTGGGAGGACGCGTTGGTGTAAGAGCACGACAAACCTCCACAAACCCGTTTTATACATTCACATCACATACGTTTTTTTGCATGTCTTTTTGTGTCTTTTTCATCTTTTGTTAAGCTCGTGCATCTTGTTATATAACATGGTCCAGGAAGTTTTCAAGCCCCTTCACTTCTCGTACACTTTATTGCCTTGTATAATTCATTTGAAATGGAGAAAGGTGACATTTTCCCCATCATGCTAAGGCTCAATAACCAATAATGGCAAAGTTAAAACTGATTTTGAGAATGTTTTGCTAGTTTGTTAAAACCACAACCTGGAAGTTCTCGTTTCCTAAAGTCAGGGCTGTAGAAGCTCTTTTGGCAGCAGTTACAACTTCCGGTCTTCTTGACTAAATGTCTACGACCTGTGAACACCTGGACCTGGGCAGAAGAATGGGATAACAGTTCTCATAGCTCCATCGGTTTGGATAAGGGCTGTCAGTGAACTCCATCTTCAGGTTTGTCCACAGAAGTTCTCTGGGAAGTCTGGACTTTGGTTGGGCTATGTCCAAAGAGGTGAGCCTTTACCTCATCAGATCAGAGAATCTTGTTTGAAAGCAGCTGTCATCAGCCCTTCACTCATAGTGACTCCCATCTATCCACTATCATAAAGGCAACCTGAGAACTTCTGAAGCTCTGTTGAGCTCCTCTTGCTCGGGTATTCAGTCTGACTGCATGGCCGACTAAAAAGTTCTTCTGTTCCCCATTACTGAAGCCACTGTGTTTCTGGGATCACTCAAAGCTGCATGGCAAAGCTGCTTTTGCAGCTGTGTAATGCACACATGTGCTCGTATAAATGATAAAACTGTATTTTTAACAGAGCTGCAATAATAAACCAAGAGCAGAAGAAAATAAAAATGAGTCACTACAGAGTGGGAGTGAAGAGGACAAAGCTAAAGAGGCACAGATAGGAACAGTCAGATACAGAGGAAAATATGAACAATACCACACACGGTGTTGGAAGCAGAAGAACAGTGGTGCAGTAGATTTACTCAACAACTGTACTCAAGTAAGATATTGATGTATTTGTACTGAAATGTTTCCATTTTCTGCTACTTTATATGTACACACATTTCAGAGGGAAGTGGTACCTTTCACTCCACAACATTTACTTGACAGCCGTACTGCTCTGCACACCCACACGCGTGGTTTCAGTCTGATTAGATCTACTCAGGTGTGCACGGTAATAGTATGCTGGGAATTATGTGGTGACATCTGCTAATAACACTAACAGGGCAAGTTATCCCAGCCCTAAGAAGTACAACAAAACCAACGGGAGAGTGAGGAAGATGTCAATTTGTCCTGAGAAGAGGTATCAAAAGTAAAAGTACCTGATCTGCAGAAAATTGATGTACTTTATACAGTTAGCTACTTTAGCCCCCCTCCAAAAACTCTGCAGTAATATGGGCTGGAAAGAAAAAGTTCAGAGGCTCAAATTGGTATTTATTTTTTGGATTTTCAATTTTAGTGAGACAATAGATAATTTTACTCTTTGAACCTTGGTTTTAAATTAACTAGTGTCTGATTAAACTGTCAACCTTTTAATGTTATGTTCAAAATCTATGACTGAACAGCAGAAACAAGTCTCTGCCTACACCTGCTATAACATTTCATTTCTTGTTATACTCAAATGCATTAATTACACATCTACACAATACATAAGTATGTAACACTGACAGGTACACTCTGCACAAGGAATACCTTTACTTTTAATATTTTAAGCACATTCTTCTGATAATACTGACTTTATTTTAAATATTTTATACTTGAAATACAGAACTTTAAACTGAAAATAAACATTTTACACTGTAGTACTGCTACTTTTATTTTTGTAAACAGAAACTGCCAATTCAATAAAAACAGACCCACCATTGTAGTGATGTTAATAACCGTGATTAGGTTACGTCACTGTTTGCATTCATTCGTCTACATTCACGTCACCTGACCTGTGTCACGACTTTCGCCCAGTATATGAAAATACTCTTGAAGCAGTGGACGTGTGACATTTATTTCAGTCTGTAGTTAATGATGCAATACAGGAATGTAAATGTAAACAAAAGCATTACCACACCACTGTAGTTTACAACGCACACTTCTATTGCACCTGACACACCTGACTCATTTCAAAATATTTTCACCTAACCTCTCCTTATCTCAGCCCAAGCAGCCTGACTATGTTCAAGTGCACTGTAAATTTTTCTCCTTAGATATGACAGTTATAAAAAAATGGCTAATTTGTACAAACCTATATACATGACAAATATAATTTGAAATTTAATTCTAACAAAAGAAGATAAGCACAAGTTGACCTTTTATGAAATGTTTGGAAAAACGTTGAAATGGGACATTTGGACCAAACACCTTAATAAAACTCCCACTCTTGTGAAATGCAAAATGAAAGCTCTTAGCTACACTACACTAAAACTATTTCCCTTCACTAACACTGGCACACTAGGGCACTGCTTCAGTTTACCTCTGCCACAACTTAAACAGACTGATAAACTAGTCCTGAGAGAAACAGGCACACAAGGCATTATTGCACTATTTAAATTAAGGCTGACACAATTGTAAGAACGAGCAGTCTCTGCTTTGGCGACGGATCTATTACCAAATATGATCAGGACTGATCTGCAGCGCTCAACCCACATTTCTTATTAAAGTACAGCTTCTGTCCAGACAGGCAGAAAACAATCCTCTCTTAAGTCTCTTCAAGTAGCTTCTGAAGGTTTCTTTGAATCTAGGATAAAAATATATACATTAGACATCCGAAAACATGCACATTAAATACATATTAAAGTGCTATTATGGTGCTGAGTAAAGTATACACATCCATAGATGTTATACAACTGCCAAGATTTATTTAAAGAATGGTTCAACATTTTGGGAAATGTGCCACTCCCATGGTTGTACGCTAAGTAAGAAGCTAAAGTAGCCAGCGGGTTTGCTTAGCTTAGCATAAAGACTAGAAATGGGTGGAACGGCTAGCTGGCTATGACCAGAGTGCAAAAGTATGTGTACCAGCACCATTATAGCTCACTACTGACACATTACTGTATAGCTCATTTGTTTGCTAAAATAAATCTATTAAACTCATACAAAAAATGAAATGTAAAACTGAGAAGTTGTGGTCCTTGGTTGGTGCAGTGACTGTTGTGTTGTCACATTTAAGGAGTGCGGCCAAAGTTAGCCAAAGAAAGCACTGTGTGTGTGTGTGTGTGTGTCTCATTTATACACAAAATAAACAATTTAATTCTTATTAATATATAGTTCCAGGACATTCTCACATAGCAACAGACACATGGGCTGTCAGTGAGGAAAAAAAAAAACCTACTGAACATGAAATAAAAGCTATTTCAGTGGCCATATTAGTTGTACAACCTTCTCCAGCTTGAACAGGTTGGTAGACAGTTCTCCATAGATCTCAGCATTCACCTCATCCTGGGACCTGTGGCTCATAGTATTTCTGTAACAAGATTGGCACCAAATCATTAGCCATTATGTGGCGCTGCACTACCAAATGAAATAAAAAGAGGTGCTCTCACTCATTACGGATGTGTTCCCAGGTGGACAACAAGGAGTTCAGACGATGCTCAAGAGCCACAATCTTGAAAGCCATGTAACAGGAGGACAAGACAAGAAGACTAACTCTGTGAAGACACACAAACACATGACAGATGAGCATTCAAATACTAACCACACAGAGCAATCGCTAACACGCCCAAATAATGAGAATGGAGAAATCTAACAATAGTCTTGTCAGAACACTCTGATTCCACATAATGAAAGGTTACTCACAAAAACAAATAGATTAGGAGGATGGCATGTAACGACACAAGCTGTGAGGTTTTCTCTTTGAGCGTGACTCTGTGGGGTGGCTTGGTTGTCCCTACAAATAACAGCAAAAAGATTAAAATATTCAATTTGTAGAGGCTAGTTGTAGTAAAACATTTTTTTTGTAAACAAATGAGCTGCAGCATTATGGGAATATTTTGAATATTTTGGAAACTTGCCTTTTCATTTTCATGCTGACAGTTAGGTGAGAAGACTGATACCAGTTTCATGTCTGCAAAACATGAAGCTACCACCAGCAGTTGATAAGATTAGCTTGGCTTAACAGAAAACGGAAAAACAGCTAGCCTGGTTCTGAGCAAAGGTAACAAAATCCACCTATAGGATGCTGTAAAGCTCACTGATTAGCATACTGTATTTTACTTTCCCAGTCCTTATGCTAAGCTAAGCTAATGAGTTGCTGGTTCTAGCTTCATATGTTCTGTACAGACATGAAACATATTGATATTTCCATGTGATTCTCAACACAAAAAAACAAATAAGACTATTTGCCTAAACTGCTAAATGACCTATTTAAAAATATAACTAGGTCAGTGGTTATTATGTTGATTACACTTGGTTTATAACTGATATTTCCCCTGATACTGGATTTGTTCTGGGAAACCCAATAGTTTATGTATTAACAAAGCTTCCTTTCACTCAGAGATGGAGTTATTAAATTACCGCTCTTAAGGGCAGTTCCGTGTTTTTGGCTTGGAGTCTGGAGGTGGATGTCTGCATGGACTGAAACCTCTCCACTCTTTACTGCACCTAGGAAAGTGTCTGGGAGGCTGGAGAAGCCTGCTCAAATAAACAGAGAACCAGTGAGTCTGGTTGCCTACAACAAGCCCCGACAAATACTAACGCAATCACAAACTTAGAGATCCTTGGAGATCAAAGGCTTCTAAGATGAAAATGGCAACCTGATATTATGAAGAACAATAAGCTGCAGATTTTAATTCATTATTCAACAGCAACCTCACTGTTTTTGTGCCAATCACTATAACAAAAGCAAAGCCTCAATGGCTCAAATTTCACTTGGCAACGCTCCACCTATGTGCAAACTATGGCCTGTCTGTGCCACAATGACAATGAGCTCACATGGAGAAAAGAATAATATGTACAGAGGATTACAGCAGCTTTGTAAAGGGTAGACATATATACTGTATAAAAGGCACACACCAGTTATTTTGTCATAATCTGGAGTTTGAGAGTCAGAGCTGCTGCTCTCCGTCAGCACCTGCCGTCTTTGCTGCACGACCCCATCGAGGTCAGAGAAAGCTTCTGGAAAGTCCTGCAGAGCACACAGAGACAAATATACAATGGATACCACAGACAGAGAGGGTATTGTATAGCACGAAAGCAAGACATTCCTATAGCTCTGTTATCACAGTGGAAAATGTACAAACAAAGCTCCTTATGTACACTACAAACATCCCATAAAATGGACGGAGGGCCCAGAGGACTGACCAGAGGAAGGGACGATGGGCGGTTGACCCTGAAGCTGTTATCACAGGAAGAAGTAACGGGGCTGCTGCATGTCTTATCATCCATCTGGAATGGCAGAGTACACACTTTGTTTTGTGAAACAGAAAATATTTATCTTCTTTAAACCAGAAATAAGATTTTCTTGCTACTTCACAGCAGCACAACATACCTATATACAATAACAACATGCATGGATGGATTACAAGACATTGGGCCCCCAGGCACAGATATGTAAAAGGTCCTCCACCCCTCCTACATGGGAGCAAAACCCCCAGATTGAAAGAGGGTTTTGTGTTTCTTTTTAGTTGCTTTGCATCAGTCTTTTCTGTGTTAGGGCAGAGAAACACCAAGCCAACATGAAAGAACTAGCACCGACAAAGGCCGACCTCTGCGTCGCCTCACGTCGTCTTTGTCTGGGCCAGTCGAGTTGAAAAAGTGACACTTGAACACACTGCACAGACCACAACCAAAGGCCGACTGGCATGTACGTTCTGCACCTGTGTGTGTTACGTGTGAGTGTGGTGTGGACCCCAGTAGCAGACACAGACCAGGAGGAGTAGGAGCTAAAGAAAGTGGTTTAATGAACAACAACACAGGTAAGGCTGGGTGGTAGGAAGACGAGGACTCAGGAGGAGACCAGGAGGGACGAGGCAGGAACCCGAGACAGACCAGGAGGAACCAAGAGGGACGAGGAACCCAGAGGATGAGCAGGAGACCAGAGAGGACCGGGAGGGACCAGAAACCCAGAGGATGAGCAGGAGAGCCGGCAGCAGGGGAGACACAGGAACCAGAAGACAAGCAGGTAAGCAGGCAGCAGTCAGGAGGACCAGGATGACAGGTGAGTCGACGGATGAGTATACAGGGTCGTGGAGTTAGTCAGACACACAGGGTAGCAGTATCAGCAATCAGGAAACTGAAGGATGACGAGCCGAGGGCTTACGCACGTAACCAACAGAAACAGCGAGCTTGATGATTGACCCCATGCGGCGTCATCAGAGCTGCTGACATGCGGAAACAAACAGGAACAGGACGGAAACACGGAGTCGAACAGGCGGAAAGCTCAGGACATGAACACATGTAATGCTAACCGGGTAGCCTAGCGTAAACGTAAGCGTATCATAGCATAAAGGTAAGGTAATGGTATGGTATGAACCAGCAAAGATGCGGCGGAAGACAGGGTGTATATATACCTGACAGGACCGGGAGACAACGAGCAGCAGGTGGGAGGAACGATGACTGATTGGAGAGAGAAACCGCAAAGGACAGGACCGGGAGATAACAGGCAACAGGTGACTGACATGGCAACTAATTGTGGTGACAGAGTAGCGGGGAGAGAACAGGTAAACAAACAAAGCCAGGAAGCCGATCGACGCGACACCGTAACAGCGTGAGAGAAATAAACCCCCCTTCCAGCAGGTGGCAGTATCTGTATTCTTCATTCAAACTGGGAAAGAAGAAAAGCCAGAATGCCAAAGTATAAGCTATAAATAAAACACCTCTCATTCAAAACAGCTGCTGTTTATAGCTGCTTCCAATCAAGAATATGTCTGATAAGAAGTTGCAAATGACACTGCTGTTCTCTGTTCTTGGTCTTTTGGTTGTGGAAAACGAAAGGAGGTTGTGGACATAAAAAACAAGAAGAAACCACAGTAAATGTGTGAAATCATGGATACAACAACGAGAAGCTGAGGGGGCTTTCCCAAACTGTTCTCTTCTTCTGCGCTGATTCACTAAGCTCAACAGCCAATCAGAGTGGTCTCTCTCTCTCACCAGTGAGGCCCGACCAACGATGCTGACTCAACATATCAAATTAGCCAAAAAGCCGCCAACAGGGGCCAACCTGTGCCGATGGTGCAGGACACATAGGAAGGACAAGCACCGACAGACGTTCACTGATGGCGCGACAGTGGCCGACGGCTTGGCACATCTCTGCCCTTGAACTTGTTTTTGTCTATGAGGTTGGTTTGCATGTCCTTGTGCTCATTTTGCTTCGCTTTGTGGCTGTGTTGCACCCATTTATACTTATTTTGCATCACTTTCTTGTTGATTGCCTTTCCAAGACCCTCCTGATCCCTTAGGGCCCTGGGCCTGTTCCCCGTCAGCCCATTCAATAATCAATCCATGCTGACATATCATCTCTTTATAAAGTAGTTTTGGCTAGCATGTTAGCAAACGTGATGCTCAGCATATAGCAGAAAGTGGATTTTCCTTAAACATGGTATACGGGACTCAGAGCAGACTAGCTGTTTCTCCCTGTTGCTGGTCTCTAAGCTAGGCTATGCTAACCGCCTGCTGCTGGTAGCCACACATTTAGTGAACAGATATGAGAGTTGTATCAATATTCTCAAATCTATGGCTAACGTGTTAGTAAAAAGTTGCAGATTTACACCTGCAGAAGACATGGAGCAGCATCATCATTCATTTAGAGTCATGTTTCTGGCCACCTGGACAATTTAACTCCAATATTCACTCTCCTTTTAGCTGCTTATGGTCTCCACCAAACCCTGAGGGAAATATGTGGATCGTTAGTTGCTAAATGCTTCACTATGCTCACCATCTAGTCATTTCTGTTTTATACTGGGCATGTTTCACTCAATGGATTTTTACAAATCTTTCTTCTTTAATCCATAAAACTGCAGCGTAAATGACACATTATGGTTTTACAGGAACATATGCATCTTCAGACACAGCGGGACTTTTCACTCTCACTTATTCTGCTGCACATTTAAAGAATCAATTAATTGTTTAGGCTGCAAATAGTGCAAATAGTAAATCATAATTTCTAGCATCCAAAGTTTTCAAATTTCATTTCTGTCCCACCAACAGTTCATAATAGAAAACTATACAATAACTGTGATATAGAAAATAGCTACAAACCCTCATAACTGCAGATGTTATGTTTGTGCTTAAGATTTTAAGATCTTGACTTTCAGAAAGATAAAAGTAGAAACAACTGAATCTTATTAGAATGAATCAGTGTTAATATGAGTTGTATAGATGACGTTACTTACCTCCAAGTGAATGCAGATGGATTTCAGAACTTTGTAGGTGGTGTTTCGAGAGAGTAGCGACACAAACACATGCTGGAAAACAATAACTTCAAATCACTTTCATGTTTATGTTAAATGGGAAAAACTGATCGTCTCAACTGTTTTCTTACCTGGTCGGTCGTAGTTTGAATCACAAGAGCATTTGGTACTAACAACGCAGTTTTAGTTTTTTTGATACCTGTTACAGACATCACTGGAACTGAAATCTGGAGAGGGGGAAATACACTTTTTAATATCAGTTAATGCTAATCACCATTTTATACCAGAGAATTCAGTCACAGAACGAGAACTGGCAGTGACATTCATTTCTTTATTGCAGCTACCTTGGTATCTTTGCCAAATACTTTGGAGTGGAAACAGATCCAGTTGTCAGAGACGAACATTCTGCCCTGATATAACATGTCTTTCTGCAGGGCACAAGTGTAACCTGTCGGCAACAACAACACCTCATGTTTAGATCACCAGTCTAATATTTCTCTGCTTCCCACGCCCATGTAAGAAACAGGATCTGAAACTTACTTTGTTTGAGTAACTCATCATTGCTGATTTCGCTGAATAACTTATGATACTGGGCGTTTGTCTTTGATAACTGAAAAGAACAACATTTGTTGTTAAGAAGTTGCAAAAACAGGACATTTCCTGAAGGTTTGATAAGAACTGTGAGACCAGAATAATGTGTCCCTACCTGGCGGGGCTGCCATTTCTTCCTTTCAAGCTTTGCTTCAAAATCACCGGGAGCCAACATGGGTGAAAGCTTTACCACAGGTTTCAGTCTGACAAGTAAAAGATCAGTGTTTATGGTTAAGTATCATGGGAACACCTGAGGAGGTCAGCTAATGGTGGGACGCTATAGTTACAGCAACATATCAGGTGAGCAAACATGATGTGTGCATTCACTTTTACTGATTCACACAGTATATGTTAGACCAAAGTAAACGTCTTTCATTTAGTTGCCGTGGTTATGTAAGAGCTGCTTACAGCTAAATCTGTAAACAGCACTTTGGTCATGCGGGAGGGGCAGTGCTGTAGTTGGAATGTGATGAAATCCTGCTGACGCTGTTCTAAGAGAATCCAGCAGCCAAGTTCACTCAAAACAAACCCAGTCTAGTCTATTTATGTCTTAATTCTCATGAAACCCTTCTCTGGATAGACACTGGTTACATAAACTAAACTCTTTCATAATAGATCAGACATCCTATTTTGTCTTTTATCAAAAGTATTTCAACTTTTTCCTCTATTCACTGTTTTACACCCTTTGGTCACCAGGATAAGAACCAACTGCACGACACCATTATGGGCAAAACACAAAGCTCCCCAGCACAGCTGTAACTCGCATGCATGCAAAACAAATAAAAGGAGGTTTGGTTTTATTCCAGGAGCCATTAGCCTTCTAAACAGCCTCAGCACGAGAACTGGTCAGTTCACTGACTCAGTGCACGTCATTGTGGTGTTAGGCCTTGCTGAACAGTTAATGGAGCAACCGCTGCCATTAATCTCAACTGTTTCTAACACTGGCATATTTGTATTTTAGATGGTTTCTATGTGTGAAAATGAACTGTCTGTTCTTTGTTTGTAGGCTCATCTCAAATTTCTCAATTGAATAAAGTATCTTCTACTATGTAGTAACTTTAACTCTTTAATATAGCACAAAACCTCTCCTCACACTGGAGAAGCTGGAACAAGAGAATGTTTTTTTTCCTTGAAAAGTGAATTAAACAACAAAAAATATAATTTATGAGTGGGCAGATTCTTTCAGGTGCAGTGGTTTTATCAGGCTTGTTGATAACACTTTACTTTAACCACCCTATTTATCATTCATGAGCCATATATAAACAGTTCATAAATCAATTATAACATAATAGAATGTAGTTGTAAGCTGATATGTTTATTAACAAATCTGCACACAAACTTTTGACACCCATAAGGTGTCACCAGCTGATTGTCAGGCCACTATAACCTTGCTCACCTGGCGCCTGGCAGTTTCTTCCTGCTCTCTGAGGCCTCGGACTCTGTATCCAGACGCAGCCGGAGGTCTGCAGGGGAATGTACACGCCCCCTCGGTCTCCTCTCACCTCCATTCTCCACTTCACACCTGGACACAAAAGGCACTGTTCTCTTCTGTGCATCACTTGAATTCGACAAGTCAGATTTGTCCTTCATTTTGCAGGACTGGGCTGTAAAGGCTCCATCAAAACACACACAACACGTAATGCATAAAAGAGACCAAGGTAAAAGAAAGAGCATCGTTTACCACACAACTAGACAATGAAATTCAAATTTCTGTCCTCTGTAATTTCCCATTTTTACTCAATTATTTGCGCCTTCTCCGTGCCACGTACACGTCACAGTCATCAATATAAAGCCAACACAGCCCTTTAACTGAAATACACCACTGGAAGAATAGTGGGCCCTTTGTGTGTAGCCACGGTGCATTAGGCCTGAACCGCCTGGAAACAAACCGGGCCCTTCCTCTCCATCTTAGTCAGACTTACGTTGAGCGATTCCCTCGAGAGTCCTTATTGGAAAGTTGCTCTAGTGTGGGTACCGGGGTCAGAGGCCTGTCCCCCTGCTCGGCCATCGGTACCGTGCGTTATAGTTCACATCTCACACGCTTCCATTCCATTTGTTCCCACTGTCGTCCTTGCATCGCATTGAACAAAGACGCGTCGGGAAGCCTGGACACGGAAAGTTTAGGAAGATCGCTGGGACTGAGAAACCCGACAGAGGAGGAGTCAGGGAAAGGGGGGGAGCAGCAGCAAGGAAGCGCGTCAGGAACGACGAGCTCACAGCTGCTGGGACGGAAGACGTTTCAGGCCTGACATAAACCTTTCAGAGACAAGTCCTACAGTATCCACCTGTAATAAAACAGGAAAATAGGACTTTCAAATGTGAGGAGAAAGGGCTGAAGAGGTTGAACCGCGTGACATCTTTGCGTAATGAGCTCAAAAGTCCCGCTTTGCGCACTGGATTTAGTGCACTTCATTAAATAGTGCACTTCATTAAACAGCGTGAACTTGCAAATGTTCAACTGTTCTTGCCTCATAAAACTTCATATAAACACAGCAGAGTGTATTGAAGAGAGATTTCCAGCAGGGGGCAGCAGAGTTTAGCCGATCAGGTGTGTGTATCTGAACTTTTTGCCTCTTCCTGTAACCATCTCACCCCCCCTCTGATTCATCCTGTGACTCCTGGGAGAGGCCAACCACCGGCGTAAACTCCTTACTGTATATAAAGTAAAAACTCCAGCCTCCACTTTGAACAACTACAGCAGTAAAACACTGCTCAGGGTTTCGTCCCTATGAACAAGTTAATAATCACAAGAGGCCAATTTTCAGCAGAAGTACAACTTTTTAAATACAGGACTTTTACTTGTAATGATGTATTTCTTCATTACAGTTTGTAAAACGTCTTCTCTTATCCTACTGACCAAATGCATCTATAAATATTACAAGGAAAAGTATTCTGAATTTATTATTTGTTGTTATGGATTAATATTACTAATGCATAAATGTCCAAGAAGCATTTTAATATTACTTGTTGGGAAGTAACAACAGGTGTAAATTAAATTTAGTGGAGTAAAATATCTAGTGAGGTGATAGTATTAAGTAGAAGAAATGTAGAACAAAATAGAGTAGCACGTTTATCAAAATAGCCCGTTTTAGGCTACATAATTTAATTTATCCCAAAACAATAACATTTTTGACTGTTTCCCCCTGTTTCCTGATAAGGTTGTTAAACTCATGTTGTTATGGCAGCACCACTTCATCATCATCCTGACATATTTGGCAGAATTCTGGAGAGATCATTAGAATTAAAATAAAGTTCTGTGTGTCTGAACAAGGCTTGGCTGCACAGCATGAGGTTAGCTAGGCCCGTCAGCTCAACTCATCTGCTTGTTACAGGGTTAAGATAATTCTATACCAACAGCATGCAACTGGAAGTTTGGCTGAATATAAAACAAAAATCAAGTTTATTTTACAACTATATTGATATATAGAGGCCTGATACCTGCACACTAAATAGCCAAAACCTGAAAATGTCCATGAGTTATCTGCATAGAAACACTGTGATAAAGACACAACAAAATGACACAGAACTGATTCTCCTTTGGCCTCCAGGAGACGCTGTTGCAGCACGTGAAACCATTACAGGGTCGTGCAATTGCAAAAGACTTGTCAGAGTTCATTAAGTATCCAGAAGACAAAGGCACAGCCAGCACTGCACACTAGCTGCTAGTTAGCCTGCCATTAATCACGGCTGACAAGGAACAAGGGGTTAAAGGTGGCAAAGCTGCCAGTGAGTGTGAGTGATTTTATCCCGCAGGCCTATTCACAGAAAAGGAGAGCTGGAGCTGGGAGACATGGGGAATTTGTTCACATCTCCACATAAATGTGATCAGGGTTAAGGTAACATACTGTAAAGAACATACTTGCACAATTACAGCAATTCAACACCAGCTATAATTACAGTCAAAACAGCCATTTTCAACACTATTTCCATATGAACACAAGCACCCAGCAGACTTTAATGTGAACATGATATAAGCCAATAAATAATGTTATTCCCCAGTGTATTATATTACCAACAAACAGATCTGCAGACTTCAAAACACCACAGGAATAGTTCAGCAGTGTGGGTAATATGCATCCTTCTATCATTGGGCACTTTCACCTACAAACAAAGCTTCATACTTTGAGGGTTTTTATAGAAGCTGTTCTCAAAGAATTGACTGTTTTCCTCATTATTTGTATCAAATTACATAAAAACACACACAGGAAACATTAGCAAATTACAGACCTGTTAAACTAACTGGTAATACTGTACTTTTATTTCACAGGATCTTTACATCCTAATGATTTATTGACAGTTTCCTGAAAACAAACATGTAGTTTGGTACATATATTAATTTATTTTCATTATTTCAATTGTTGTGTTGAGTTTATTGTTGATTTCCAGATAAAGTTTCATAAAAGAAATTGCTGCATTTACATCCCAGTGAACCCATTAATGGAAACTTTAGTCTTCATTTAACTGAGTTGTATGTGTGTAGCTTAGTATTAAAAATAACTGGAGGTACACCAACTGATCACTCCTCATTTAACTATAATTACCACCTATTTAAGTGCTTCTTTCCAGAAAACATCTTAGGAGATTATCTGGAGGGAAAATAAAATGTACAGATCTGTAAAAATAAAGTAACTTTAATCTATAAAGTAACTAAAGGTGTTATTCGTTTCAAATGATTCAAGTGATTTAAAGGTGCTGGTAGGTGGATTTTGTTTCCTGTCTCCTTCTGTTTCCAGCCTTTATCCTGCTACACTGACCTGCTCCTGGATCTGGCTTCATACTGAGCAGTTAGATAGGGGAGCGTCATCAATCTTCTCATCTAAGAAATCAAATAAACATTATTCTGTAACTGTTCTTTTAAACACTGGTAAAAACTGTTTATTATTAGATTAAATCAAGCTGGTGCCCACTGCCAGTGTAAGTGTGTGTGAGAGAGTGGGACTCTTTCTGCTGCCTTTGCCTTCTGAAACATCTCCTTTTGTAGGCAGAAGCCTTTTGCCTGTCAGATATTCCACCACAGAAAGACAGAGAACAAGGAAGGCATAGAGAGAGGAGGGCGAGAGAGAGAGGGAGAGAGAGAGTGCAAAAATGGTACTTGTGACGGGGGAAGATTGAAGTCCTGTTAAGTGCTCTGCTTGAAAGCATGTCTGGCCTCATTAGCTGTCAGTTGTAACAATACCGAACTGGCAGTGAAGACAGGTTGGAGTCTAGTGGTCATAAATCACTCCTCGACAGCTGCCTGACAAGCTGGGAACCAGTACACAGGCTCGGGCGCCCTCTCAGCCTCGACACTGCACAGGCACACAGCCGTGCACACAGTAATCTAAGAAATCATCGCTCTCGCCCTGAAATTACCTGGAAAAGTGCAGCGAGGTATTTTCTAAGACGAAATTTGTCTCTGCCTGTGTACATATATATGTGCACTTGTACGTAACCCCTCGTCTCCTGTGCATGTCCATCTCTGTCCGTGATTTAAATGAGCAGTGGCTGCAGTGACTTCTGTAGGACGGGGGGTTAAAGAGCAAGGCCTGCAGGTCATTAATCATGGCCCCTGACATGCAGAGCGACGTGTTGACCCTCATACGCCCCCACTCCCAGCGCCTGTGGCTCTCATCTGTCCAGCTCCCTCACTGTTCATGTCAGTCATTTGTGCTGTCAGACCAGGCAGCACAGAGCACGCCTGGAGCCTGAAAGTGCAGCGCCGCTGATGGCCACCAGGTGCCTGCTCCAAGAAATCCTCGACTTGTCTCCAGAAATACTGGGTCAATAAACTTTTCTAGGAGACAATATGGGTGCAAATTCTGAATTCAGATCCTTTAATAAGTGTTCATGTCAGATGTTAATGCTGAATTAATAAGACTTCAGGGTTTATCAAATGATTTGATGACTGGTTGGTTTTTCAGACCATCTGTTTATATCATAATTTCCACACAGCTCTACTGAAGCTACAATAATAAGACGCTCAAAGAACGTTATCATCTGGTGTTTCTTTAAGTTTAACATGAGCATTCACGGTAGTTTAGGTAGTTCAATAGCTAGCAGGAGGGAAGTGAGGCTCATGTTTTCAGTAAGCTAGTATTTAGTCTGAGGTAGCAGGAAGGAACCAAGGCTTTTATTTGGAAAGTCCTGACTCCAAGAAAAGAAAAATGGCAGCAACTCTAATCTGTAACTTTATTTATCAGTAACATGCAATTTAATCCTGCTCCAAACCAATGGGTGACATCACACCTGGTGATGTCCATTGAATTATTTTGCAACTGTTGATATGCATAAAGTAAATTAAATGAAAACTGGAGAAAACTGGTATAGGCTACTGCTAAAGAGATTGTGAAAATAGTTGTACAAAATAGTTTTAATCGAAGGTGTGTTTACTAGTTTTCACCTGGATCGTCCTGTACTTTGGAAAATGCTAATAAGTACACCTTGAGTTATTATTTTGTTGACTTGTTATCTTATTTTCAAGGTCAGGAATGGGCTTTCACCCTAAAAACTAACGTTCAGTCGCAACACTGACTCACACTTCAATCCCACATTCCCATGATTGTGTCAGACTCTGTCCTTCATATCCAAAATTCATCAAATAACCAAAGACACAAAATGTGAAAAACTAATATGTCTTCTTGTTCTCGTTCCCATCCACTGACATGACATCAGCCAAACCCGCAGCTGCTTGCATAATGATGAAAGCCAGTCAGGCTGTGAGACACTGGAGCACTGTTTCATCATTCACAGCTACTAAATCACTTAGTCCAAGCAGCTGCTGAAAGCAGAATCCTTATCAGCCTTCCAGCATGATGATGTGAAGTTTCTGAGGACTTTGGCACTGTATGGACTCAAACTCACAAAAGGCATTGACATTTATAGACCAGGTGATCTGTTGAGGCATAAAATATATTCAATGAACATGGTGCACACCAAAAACCAGTGTCTCACATTGGTTTCTTTCATAAAATTATTGGTCATTATTAACCTAAAGTGGTAATAGACATGAAATTTGTTTTGAAAGCCACTGTTCAAGCCCTACACACTTTAGCAAGTGTTCCTACAAGGGGTCAAGCTTTTCAGTCTTGCACATATGCAGTTTACAATGATAAGGGTGGCACCTAAACTCTTAGCAGTGTTTGAAACAAACTAGAGAACAACCTGTCAGGGATTGGCAAGTAAAGCTGCCAATATTGTTTGAGGTGAACTCAATTACAACGCCAGACAGGATAAAGTAGATAACTGTCTTTTTACTGTTCACCACTAACAGCGTACAGTGCAGAAGTCCAGAAAATACATTTGAGTC